CCATGACAGACCTTTGAAAATTATTTTTAAAAAATCTACGCCTATGGAAGACCTTCGATAATGTCTCCGTTTTTATCGACATTTTCGACGACCGGCCTACTTGGCGAGGTGCATCTTTAATATCAAAAATTGCTGAGCGGAACCTAAATTGCACATAATAAGCAGTTATAGTTTCTGAACAATAAACACCATTAACAATTTTAGCCGCTTTGCTTGCATTTCCCCTTTGTCAATGAAAAACTGTAAAATGCGAATTTTCTCTTTATTCACTTCCATTTAAACATCCTGTAACTCACAATTGAATGCACCAAAAAAAAAAAAAAATAAATAAATAAAAAAAATAAAACAGCAAAGTATTTTTTACTGTGAAATGTCACCCTTCCAACGAGCATAAATCTGAAATTGTTTGATGTATACTTTACGAGAAATCTATCAGTACAGATATCTGCCGAAAAAATAACAGATTTCTTTTTCCCCAATCTAATATTTTTGCTGTAAAAGGGAGTAGGTTAAATTTGGGGCTACATTAAAAATCGAATCAAATTACATCGTAAAAATAATTCAGATGTGATTCAGTCTGTGTCATATCGTGCACACAAACCAGTAGTGTTACAATGCAATTATCATCCTGTAATCGCAAGCATCGATATCGACATCGCATTTATGAGCTGTGGCTTTACTATCGATCACAGGGTACTAACTAAATTTTTCTTTGGATGATTTGTGTCTAGGCTACGATAAAACAGGAATAAGTGAAAATATCCTCATTGTTTTTTGCATGTACGTTGATCCTAACTTTTTTTTATCCGACATCACCATTATTGGATGTGGCTTTACTAGCGACCATGGGGTTCTGATTTTTCATCCATTGCTGATTCTGATTTTATAAATGAAGACATTGATTTTTTTAAATCCACGCCTTTTGAAGGCCTTGAAAAAATATATTTTTTTTAAATACACACCTATGGAAGACATTTGATTTTTTTTAAATCCACGCCTATGACCTTTGAAGGCCTTGAAAAAAATTTTTTCACAAAAAATGTATGCCAGTGGAAGACCCTTGAAAATTAATTAAAAATGTTAAAAAAAATTATATATTCCAGCTATCAACATAATATTTTTAAAAAAGAGCATATTTTTCAAGCATTGTCCCAGCTATAAACGAGAGTAGGATAAATTTGGGGATACATTAAAAATCAAATCAAATTACATCGTAATAATAATTCAGATGTGATTCAGTCGGTGTCATATTGTGCACACAAATCAGTGGTGTTAAAATGCAATTATCACCCTGTTATCGCAAGCATTGATATCGTCATCGCATTTACGAGTTGTGGCTGTACTATCGATCACAGGGTGGTAACTCAATTTCTCTTCCGATGGTTTGTGTCTATGCTACGATAAAACAGGAATAGGTGCAAATATCCTCATTGGTTTTGGCATGTACGTTGATCCTAATTTTGTTTTCGTTATCACCATTATTGGATGTGGCTTTACTAGCGATCACAGGTTGGTAACTCCATTCATACACTGCTGATTCGTGTCTGCGATACGGGTACACATAAATAGCGGCGAATATATGAATTATTTTTTATATTTATTTTCAACACATTTCGTACGTAGTCCCATGTATACCCTACTATCGTGAATTTGTAATGGAAAAGTGTAGATTTGCTGATTCGTTTCTGCGATACGGGTACACACAAATAGCGGCGAATATCTGAATTGGTTTTTTTATATTTATTTTGAACACATTTCGTACGTAGTCCCATATATCAACTACTATCGTGAATTTGTTATGGAAAAGCGCAGATTTGTGTAGGAATAAGTTTTCTAATATCTTCTATAAAAGTGGGTTCTTAATAACTTTCATAAGAATGATATTTTTATTTTATCATTTTAAAGATCTTTTATAGTAATGGGATTTTTGTGAGATATTTGTACTTACGTTTTGGATTTCTATTGTGTGTAAAAAAAATGCCTTCCAAAATTGTGTTTAATATTTTAGAATTCGTTCATAGTCATGGCATTTTTATAACATATTTGTACTTACGTTTTCTATTTCTATTGTGTATACAAATTAAATTAAAAACCGGTTATTTATTTTTTCAAAAATTTTCTATTTTATTATTTGCTCTTTTGCGTTATAGTTATTTTATTATTTAATAATAATTATTATTATTTTCCTATAATTCTATTAATATTGCTAGAGTTAATTATTATTATTTTTGTTTTTGATTTCTTTTGTTTTGGTTTTTTTATTATTTATTATTATTTAATTTTATATTATTTAATACATAACTATATTATAATATATATTGTACCACTATTATTATTTTAATTATTTGTTAAGGTGTTAATTTACACAGAAATGGGATTGAATTCTGTTGTTGGCAGAACACAATAAATGTTAATTATTTGTGATAAATGTTTATACAATTTGTATTATTATTTCGTTATTATGAAGCCATTAATAGTATTGTTTAGAGAAATGTTTATGGAAATTATTGTTATAATTTTTACAGTAACATTTTTTGTATATTATATTATTAATTTTGTTAGGGTTATTGTAACTAGCATAGGAATTATTGATATAATTATTTTAATTATATATATATATTATATTTTGTATATATTTTACATAAAGCTTTGTACACGTACTTATTTTTTTTTTAATTTTTGTATACACAATTATTAATAGCAGTACGAAATATGAAAGCAATAAAGCTTTAAGTTTTAAGGAGGAAAGTATTAGAATCAGAGTTAGATGTGGGACATATTACGCTGTGGTTTTCTGAGATAATTGCTTAAGTCCGAAGTCTAAACGGACAACCAGATCCCTGGAAATTTTAAAGCATTTTTCACAGTTACTCCCAGAAGGCTAGCGATTTAAAATAATCGGTTTTCAGTGATGTCCAGAAGCCAGGAGATTTATATACGCAAATTTTATGGTGAGCTGTAGAAACCTGCAGTTTATAGCGTGGTTTTTCTGTACCATTCTAAAATTGGATTTTTAAAATACTATTTTTCAAGGACCATTTTAGACGCCGATTTGTTAAATAATATTTTTTCGACGACTATAAAGTTATAGGCTAAAGTAGGGTGAATTTGGGGTATTTATAAAATTGGAATTTTTAAAATAATATTTTTCAAGGACCATTTTAAGGGCAGATTTGTTAAATAATATTTTGTCAAAGACTATAAAGCTATAGGCTAGAGTAGGGTGAATTTGGGGTATTGATAAAATTCGAATCAAATTATATCGTAGTTTACATAGTTCAGTGGTTCATGTTTTACGGTATACTAGGCACGAACCAGCAGTTCTGATTTGAAGTTATTGATGGTGATGTTATCGACATCGCCTTTATGGGTTGTGGCTTTACTAGCCACATCACAGGGTGTTAACTCTATTTCTAGGCTTTGCGTAGACACAAAGCTTACGCTACGGCAAAACAGGAACAGAGGCAAATATTTAAAAATATTTTTTCATGGCCTTCATATGGGCGTGGATTTTTTTAAAAATATTTTTTGTGAATTTGAGGTTTCGATAAAATTCGAATGCAATTATGTCGTAAAGTTCAGTGGTTCATATTTTACGGTATACTAGGCACGAACCAGCAGTTCTCATTTGAAGTTATTGATGGGGTTATTATCGACATCACCTGTTTGGGTTTGGGTTGTGGCTTTACTAGCCACATCACAGGGTGTTAACTCCATTTCTAGGCTTCTGATTTGTGTCTACGCTACGGTAAAACAGGAACAGAGGCAAATATTTATAAATATTTTTTCATGGCCTTCATATGGGCATGGATTTTTTAAAAATATTTTTTGTGGCCTACATATAGGCGTGAATTTGAGGTTTCGATAAAATTCGAATGCAATTATGTCATAAAAATAGTTTAGATAGTTCAGTGGTTCATATTTTGTCCTATACTAGACACCAACCACCAGTTCAGATTTGAAGTTATTGATTGTGATGTTATCGACATCGCCTGTATGGGTTGTGGCTTTACTAGCTATCATTGGTTTGTGTCTATGCTACGATAAAACAAGAACAGCTGTAAAAATCTGATTTGATTTTGGTATGTAAGTTGATCATGTTTTAAATATAGTGTCATACTAAACCTACTAGCATGGATTTTGGTAACTAATATTTTTTAAGGCTTTAAAATGCTGGGATTTTTAAAAGAATGTTTTCAGTACCAACAGTTCTGGTTTTGGAGGTATCAATAGTAACGCTATCAACATCGGTGTAGTTTATGGCTTTACTAGCCATCACAGGGTGTTAATTCCACGTCTCTGATATTGGTTTGTGTCTATGCTACGGTAAAACAAGAACAACTGCAAATATTTAATTGGTTTTATTTTGGACGTAATTCGATTACATTTTAAAGGTAGTCCCACATTTATCCTAGTACCATGGATTTTTGTAAATAATATTTAAAAGTTTCAAGAGGCTGGCCTTTTTAAACAAGAAATCTGCTTTTTCCATGAATCATTTTTCATGGATCACCAGAAGCTCGGAAATTCTGGATAAATTTTTTAAAGAATAGAAAAGGGTCTGAACATTTCAAAGGTCGCGACCCACAAAAGCCTGAGGAATTTCAAGAATCTTATTTTGTAAGACCTTCAAAAGCCTAGATATGTTATGTACTCTTCAGGAATTACCAGAAGACTGGAAATTATTGAACATATTTGTCCTGAACCTTCGTAATCCTGGAGATTTTAAACAATATTTTCTATAGATCGCCATAACCTTGATTTTTTAAGGAATAATTCTGCAAGGACTAACATAAGACCGTTTTATTTTTATTCCATGCCCCCTTCAGCAATTATCTCCACAAACCAAAAAAATAATCTGCCCCGCAGTAAAAAATTATACCCTTCAAAATACATAAATTCTTCGCAAAGAAAAATATTTTTATTCACACATATCCTTCTTCTTTTAATCCTTACCGATAACGAAAAACAACACCAACAAAAGCATTCGAATACAAAATCAACAATCTCTATACAAATTGAATATGCTGACCGCAGCATCATTCCCGAGTCAATTTCAGTCGCACCGCCAATCGTTTACATTTCCATATCAGTTGCGTTTCCAAAATACTAAATGACATGGCAACGAGAACGAGGCCCAATAATAAATAGGCACAGCAAGCAAATAGCTGAATTTCAGGTCCTTGAAAGGTACGCATTGGCATAAAGTCACCGTAGCCGATTGTTGTCAGGGTGACAAAACAAAAATATGCACCATCGATCAGTGACCAATTTTCCCACAGGGCAAAGATAACGGTGCCCAGGCATACGTAGAAGACCAAAATGATGAGGACCAACAGGAGAGGGACCTGAGGTAGCTGTTGTGAACTGCATACGGAATCGCCGTCATATGAAACCAAAGAATTGTTATCCAATTCCAAGTCGTTCGCGTTCGTGGAAGAGGGTAAAAGTTTATCAGTCTGTTGTTGTTGCTGGTGTTGTTGTAAATCTTTTAGTTTATACACATTTTGTTGGCCCTCCATAAATTCATCGTCATCCTCGGAGGTATCGTGATGGTCACGATAACAAATTGCCGAATTTCTTCGCTTGGGCGTTATGTGGAGATTACATTCGCCTTTGTGGTTGATTATCATTGATTTGCGCTGCAGCGTTGTAGCAACGGCAGGCTGTTGTTGTTGCTGGCTGCTGGTCCTTTGGAAGCTGCTGGTATGCCTTTGAAAGCTGGCGGCGGTGGCTTGAAAAAAACTACGTGCCGAGGATTTATCTTCATGGGTGCTGGTCGAGGTGTTGCAGGTTAGCAGGGGTACTCGTGAGGGGGTTCCATGTGGGCAGTTACTGTAATGAAAAGGGAGAGAAAGCAAACGAGAGAAAAGGATTATTTTTGTGAAGGGGTATGTTTTTGTTATTGGTTTTTTTATTTATCTTTATAAAGGCTATTCGTTAACAGGGGTATTTGTTTTTGTTGTTTATTGTTTAGATAAATATTTGTGTGAAATTTAAAATGGCTAATTGAATTAACATATGTGGCCTGAATGTTTATTTATTGGTTGTTTCCACAAGGGATAAAAGACAATTAGCAATAAAAGGATAAACATCCTTTTAAAGGGATTTTTAAAATTATTTTAATAATTTTTTTTTCAAGGACTCTTTGTGAACTCCAGCTAAAAGCGTATAAAATAGGGTGAATTAGGGATTTCGATAAAAATCAATTCCAATTATGTAATAAAAATAGTTTAGATAGTTCAGTGGTTCATGTTTTCCCGTATACTAGACACGAACCAGCAGTTCTGATTTGAAGTTATCGATAGAAATGTTATCGACATCGCCTGTATAAGTTGTGGCTTTACTAGCTATCATCACAGGGTGTTAACTCCATTTCTCGGCTTCTGGTTCGTGTCTATGCTATGGGAAAACAGGAACATCGGCAAATATCTGAATTGGATTTGTGAGGTAATTTGATCACATTTTAAAGGTAGTCCACCATTCACCTAACTAGCGTGTATTTTTTGTAAATAACATTATTTAAGGCTTCTACAGACTGGGATTTTTAAAAGGATTTCATCAGAAATCTGGTATTTTTGAGAATAATACCAGGGATCACCAGCATGGATAAATTAAAAAAACAATTTTTACTGGGCCTGCAGAAGGCTCGAAGGCCACCAAAGAGTTTTCAAATTATTTCATAAAATAGTTTAAATAGTTCAGTGGATTTTTCCCGTAAAAAAAAATTTCCAGCAGTTCTGATTTGAAGTTATCGATAGATTTTATCAACATCGCCTGTATAAGTTGTGGCTTTACTAACTATCATCACAGGGATTTTTTAAAATTTATATATTTTGTGTCTACGCTATGTGAAAAAAGGAACTGCGGTAAATATCTGAATTGGATTTGAAAGGTAATTTGATCACATTTTAAAGGTAGCCCCACATTCACCCTACTATCGTGGATTTTTGTAAATAACATTGTTAAAGGCTTCTACAGAATTTTTAAAATACTATTTTTTCATTCAGTTCTGATTTGGAGTTATCGATAGTAATGTTATCGACATCTCCTGTATGGGTTGTGGCTTTACTAGCTATCACAGGGTGTTAACTCCATTTCTCCACTGTTGGTTTATGTCTATGCTGTGTGAAAACAAGAACAATATCTGAATTGGGTCTGGGAGATAATTTGCTTGCATTTTCAAGATAGTCCCACATTAATCCTACTATCATGGATATTTTAATAGCATTTTTAAATCTTTATTAGGCTGGGATTTTTAAAAGAACATCATCAAAAATCTGGCAGTTTCAAGTATAACTTTTGTAGAATATTTTCTTAAGGAACCTGCAAATCTGATTTGGATTTAGTAAAAAAAAATCAGAGATCTACCTACCTTGTGGAATTTCACAGGGTGTTATCTCTATTTCTCCACTCTTGGTTTATGTCTATGCTGTGTGAAGACAGGAGCAGTGGTAAATATTTGAGTTGGGTTTGGGAGATAATTTGATTGCATTTTAAAGATAGCCCCACATTAATCCTACTATCATGGATTTTTAAATAGAATTTTTAAAGCTTTATCAGACTGGGATTTTTAAACGAATATCATCAAAAATCTGGTAGTTTCAAGTATAAATTTTCAAGGATCACCAGAAATTTCAGATATTTTGTAGAATGTTTTTTAAGAATAGCAAATGATCTGAAAAGTAAAAAAATCTGTGTTCTGTAGATTTTTCAAGGCATATTCATAGATTAATATTTATAAATTAAATTCATATTTATAAATTAAATAAATTTCTGAAAAAGGATTCCTTAAGTAACCTCCCTGTCGTATAACTGTGTTTATCACTCATACGTCACCTGCACAATTTCCGCAACCATTACAATTACTTTATTTTCGAATTTCAATTATCCCTTCTTTTTATGGTTGTGTTTTCTTGTAATCTTTCACATTCGAAGTGATGCTAAATCTCAATTGTTTTTCACGTCTAAGCTCACACCTAAAATATCCTTTAATTAATTAAGTATTTAAGGTAATTTTTATAGCGGACGGTAAAAATAACTCCTTCCTCGGAATACCCAATCTCCACATCTTCCTCCATCCTAGTAATTCTAAAAACAAAGAACCCTATGCTCTTTACGCTCAAATGCCTCGAACATGTGTTCGGTACAAAGATTTATGATAATCAAGTGATACTTTATGGTCTCATGGTGACGAACAGAACAAAATAAAAACGGCAATGGCAAACCATTACGAATTACCACCACGTCTGCAGAGTAATGCCACCAGGCAACCTTTTATTCCTGCCGTGCCTCCATCCCTTCCTTCTACTTATTAATGCAGCCATTTAATGGGTATATCTTACAAGCTACTTTACAGCAATTGACGTTGCTGATAGTGGTGGCAGTAGGGTGCCCACAGAAACATCACCACTCTGCCTGTGTCCTGTAATAAGGCATGTGCCTCGCTACGGCTTTCATTAGCCAGTTTTGCTTTACTTTTTTCATCATCTTCACCATCATTCGTATCGCAACCATTCGTCCATGCCTTTGGGGGTGGTGTTGGTAATTAATTGTAACTCGACTCGTTGAATCGGGTCAATTAATTTTCTCATCTCTCACTTCGTTTTTCTCGCCTCCCTTTTCCTGCTTGCTTGCTGCTCTCTGTTCGTAATGTAATTTCATACTTTTATTTATTCATTCTGTTGTTTTTGTATTTTTTTATTGTTGTTGGTAGGGAGGGGTGTTGTTGTTGATGATGATTTCTATGTTGCCACAAAAATACATATTCTTTATTGTTGGTGACTGGTCATGATTTGTGTGTTGGAGGAACCGATACTTAGTCGGTTAGACTGTCTGATACAGCAGGGGGTAACTACATCATTGGTACCCCATTTATCTAAAATCGGAGGAAACTATATATGGGAGCTATATCTAAATCTGAACGGATATTTACGAAACTTAGCACACATCATTCTAGGCTCAATTCAGTACGTTATGCCGAATTTCGTGTAAATCGAAAGATATATAGGGACTTTGGTGCACCTTTTACCTAAAATCGGGAGAAACTATATACGGGAGCTATATCTAAATCTGAATTGATTTTCACGAAACTTAACACACATCATTCTAGACCTTTTTCATTACGCTGTGCCAAGTTTCGTCCAAATCGGAAAATATATAGGGACTTTGGTACACCACGAAAATATATATGGACGAAAATATATATGAAAGGTATATCTAAATCTGAACCGATTTTCATGTAACTTAGCACACATTATTATAGACGCAACTAAGTATGCTATGCACAATTTCGTTAGAATCAAAAGATTTCCAGGGACTTTAGTGGACTATTTACCTAAAATCGGACGAAACTATATATGGACCGATTTTTTAAAAACGTGGCAGACATCATTCTAGGCTCAATTCAGTACGTCATGCCGAATTTCGTTTAAATCGAAAGATATATAGGGACTTTGGTGCACCATTTACATAAAATCGGACGAAACTATATATGGGAGCTATATCTAAACCTGGACCAATTTTCACGAAACTTGGCAGACATCACTGCAGGTGCAATTCAGTATGCCATGCCAAATTTCGTGCAAATCGAAAGATATATGGGGACTTTGGTGCACCATTTACATAAAATCGGACGAAACTATATATGGGAGCTATATCTAAACTTGAGCCGATTTTCACGAAACGTGGCTGATGTCATTCTAGGTTCAATTCAGTATGTTATGCCAAATTTCGTGCCAATCGAAAGATAAATAGAGACTTTGGTGCACCAATTACATAAAATCGGACGAAACTATATATGGGAGCTATATCTAAACTTGGACCGATTTTCAAGAAACTTAGTACACATCATTCTAGACTTAATTCAGTACGCTGTGCCACATTTCGTGCAAATCGAAAGCTATTTAGGCACTTTGGTGCACCATTTACATAAAATCGGACGAAAATATATATGGGAGCTATATCTAAACTTGGGCCGATTTTTAGGAAAACTAACACACATCATTCTAGACTTAATCCAATACGCTGTGCCAAATTTCGTGCAATTCGAAAGTTATATATGGACTTTGTTGCACCATTTACCTTAAATCGGACGAAAATATATATGGGAGCTATATCTAAATCTGAACGGATCTTCACGGAACTTAGCACACATCATTCTAGGCTCAAATCAGTACGCTGTGCCAAATTTCGTGCAAATCGAAAGCTATTTAGGGACTTTGCTGCACCATTTACTTTAAATCGGATGAAAATATATATAGGGGAGCAAATCTGAATCGATTTTTCCCAATTTCAATAGGGTTCAGCCTTGGGCCAAATTAATGAGCTTTGCCAAATTTCATCGAATTCGAATAATAAATGCGGCCTCTACTTTGTTTACAATTTAACATGGACAGACAGACGGACGGACATGCATAAATCGACTTAGAAAGTGATTCTATGCATATTCTCAAAAGGAACCATGTGTCTATCTCGTTTCCTTTTGCCTGTTAAAAACATATGTACAAAGACATAATACCCTGTACCACAGTGTGCTGAAGGGTATAAAAAATACACCACCCAGAAATTGTTCCTCATAAAATGGAAAATAAAAATTTTATTCTGAAATATATTGAACGGTTATCAGACAAAAACAGGATGGCAGAGAATGGAAACGAACTCTTTATTTGATTTTAATATGTATTATAATGTTGTGCAGCCAGATGCTGCGATCATATAAAAGTAATTACAATATAATAAAGAAAATTGAATTAATTTCCAAGCGTTGTTGTTACCCGACGAACGGTCATTCGCCATGAACATTAAATGTTCAACCTTTAAAAGGGAGGTTAAACAATAAATTAAAGGAAAGAGAGAAGAACTGCCGGGCATTAAGCAAATGAGGATTTAAGAATTTATAACATAAAATTTTTTTAAAGCGCAGATTTTCCGTAATAGTTTTTCCCCTAGACGATTTTTTTATATTTATGTGCTCTATTTTTTAAATTACATGTCCCCTGGTGCGTATGAGTGTGTTTGATACTCATACGCCACATGTTTGCCTCTCATACGTATAAGTGTGTTCAATACTCATACGCCACTTTCTATTCATACATTTAACAAATCACTTCCTTGTAGCTGCTTAAAATTCCAACAATCCGAACTATATTTGTGGTAATTTTCCGTTCGATTTAGTTTCCTTTGTTTCCTTCATTTCAACGAAGGAAAAAAACTATTTGAGACCATTAGACCTTTTAACATGACTATGACAGGACAATAAATCAAGTGTGTCCCAACATGACAAACTGAAAACATGGAAAACACAACCCCTCATCATTCCCCTCACCTTCGACAACTAATACAATATTCTCACACAGATACGACACAGCTATTATCCTTTATTTTTATTTAAGAGTCTGTGGCTGTGGCTGGGCATAGTGAGAGCAACAAAAGCCTCAGAGAACCAACAACTTTGTGGCATTTAAGCTGGTAAATATTGAACACCTTTTTTTGTCCTGGCAAACAGCAAAAAAGAAAAGAAGCAGAAAAAAGTGTCCTGCTGGAAAACAAATGACCCCCAGCAAAAAAGGTTGTCGTTTCACTATCACACCTAAGGTTACAAAATAATTGTAGGTAGTAGTTGTTGGTCGACTGGCTGGGATGTCCAGCTGATTGGTTGGTTGGTTGTCTGACTGGTTACAGAGACATTGTATTTGCTATAAAATATATGATTCGATGGTGCAGAGATTGACCCAGGACAAACAAGGGGTCGTCTAACATTAAATCGACAGAAGTTTCAATTTGTTGACTAAATGAACTTTCATTGACAGGGTCCTTTTGTTTTTCCTTTTTTCTTCTACTTCTTGTATTTGTGGTGTGAACCATGTCGCTGAGACAAAGGATAATCTAATCAATTTCAAGAAGAGGTAGAAGAAGAAAGGAGATGGGAGAAGGATAATCAATTGAGAAATAACCAGAAATAAGTCACAAGTTTTTAAAAGTAATTTTTCGAGGACATAAGGCCTACATTTCGGCGTGGATTTTTTAAAAATATTTTTTTTTCAAGGGTCTTCCATAGGTGTGGATTTTTTAAAAATATTTTTTCAAGAGCCTTTATTTAAGCGGGAATTTTCAATTTTTGTTTTCTGGACCTAAAAAATTCCTTTAATTGTTATACCTCTTGTTTACCTCTTACACCCTTCACCGCAATGTGGTACATGGTATTAGGTCTTTGTGCATATGTTTGTAACAGGCAGGGAACGAGATAGACCCATGGTTCCTTTTGAGACTATGTATAGAATCACTTACTGAGTAGATTTTTGCATGTACGTCTCTCCGTCCGTCCATGTATTTTTGTGAACAAAGTACAGGTCGCATTTATGATCCGATTTGAATAAAATTTGGTGCATGTCACTTATATGGCCCAAGGACGAATTCTATTGAAATTGAAGAAGATCGGTTCAGATTTAGATATAGTTTCGTCCGATTTAAGGTAAATGGGGCACCAAAGTCCCTATATACCTTTCGATTTGCATGAAATTTGGCATAGAGTTCTGAATTAGGTCCAGAATGATTTATGCAAAGTTTCGTGAAAATCGGTTACGATTTCGATATAACTCCCATATATAGTTTCGTCCGATTTAAGGTAAATGGGCCACCAAAGTCCCTATATACATTTCGATTTGCATGAAATTTGGCATAGAGTTCTGAATTAGATTCAGAATGATGTGTGCAAAGTTTCGTAAAAATCGATTCAGATTTAGATATATCTCCCATATATAGTTTTGTCCGATTTTAAGTAAATGGTGCACAAAAGCCTCTATATATATTTCGATTTGCACCAAGTTTGGCACAGAGAGTATTAGGTCCAGAATGATGTGTGTCAAGTTTCGAGAAAAATCGGTTCAGATTTATAGATAGATTTTCGTGCGATTTAAGGTAAATGGGGCACCAAAGATCTTATATATCTTTCTATTTGCACGAATTTTGGCACGGTGTACTCAATTGAGTCTAGAATGTCACGAATGATGTGTGTTAAGTTTCCTTAAAATCGGTTAAGATTTAGATATAGCTCCCATATATACTTTCGTCCGAGTTACGGAAAATGATGCTTGAAAGTCCCTATATATCTTTCGATTTGCACGAAATTTGGCACAGCGTACTGAATTAAGTCTGGAAAGATGTGTGTTAAGTTTCGTGAAAATAGGTTCAGATTTAGATATAGCTCCCATATACAGTTTCGCACGATTTTAAGTTAATGGTGCACCAAATTCCCTATATATCCTTCGAATTGCATGAAATTTGGCACATCGTAATGAATTAGGTCTAGAATGATGTGTGTTAAGTTTCGTGAAAATCGGTTCTGATTTAGATATAGCTCTCGTATATATTTTCGTCCGATTTTATGTAAATGGTGCACCAAAGTCCTTATATATCTTTCGATTTACACGTATTTTGGCACGGTGAATTCAATTGAGTCTAGAATGACGTGTGTTAAGTTTCGAGAGAATCGGCTCAGGTTAAGATATAGCTCCCATATATAGTTTTGTCCGATTTTATGTAAATGGTACACCAAAGTCCCTTTATATCTTTCGATTTGCATGAAATTTGGCACATCGTAATGAATTAGGTCTAGAAAGGTGTGTGCTAAGTTCCGTGAAGATCGGTTCAGATTAAGATATAGCTCCCATATATATTTTCATCAGATTTAAGGTAAATGGGGCTCGAAGGTTCCTATATATCTTTGGATTTGCGCGAAATTTTGCATAGTGTACTGAATTGAGTCTAGAATGACGTGTTCCAACTTTCGAGAAAATTGGGTGAGATTTATATTTAGCTCCCACATATATTTTCGTCCGATTTAAGGTAAATGGTGCACCAAAGTCCCTATATATCTTTGGATTTGCACAAACATTGGCAAAGGATACTGAATTAGGTTCAGAATGATTTGTGCTAAGTTTGGTGAAAATCGGTTCAGAATTGGATATAGCTCCCATATATATTTTCCTCCGATTTAAGGTAAATTGGGCACCAAAGTTCCTATACACCTTTCGATTCGCATGAAATTTGGCATAGACTTCTGAATTAGGTCCAGAATGATGTGTGTCAAGTTTCGAGAAAATCAGTTCAGATTTATATATAGCTCGTATATAGATTATCGTCCGATTTAAGGTAAATGGGGCATCAAAGTCCTTATATATCTTTCGATTTGCACGAATTTTGGCACGGTGTTCTCGGTTGAGTCTAGAATGACGTGTGATAAGTTTTGAGAAAATCGATTCAGATTAATATATAGCTCCCATATATATTTTCGTCCGATTTAAGGTAATGGGGCTCCAAAGCTCCTATATATCTTTTGATTTCGTGAAAATCGTTTCAGATTTAGATATTGCTCCCATATATATTTTCCCCCGATTCGGCGTCGTCTGTTAGGATAAATATGTAGAATATACCCAAAGTGGCGAAGGGTATCATATAGTCGACCAGGTCTGACTTTACCTTTTTCTTTACTGGTTTAAATATAATTTTTTCAAGGTGGGAATTTTTAAAAACGATTTTCAGGACTTAAAAAACTTCTTCTTGAATTGTTATGCCTCCCCTCCTTTATTGACTTTTTCGTCTTGCACCCAACACAAGTGGTCACTTAAAGCAATTTATTTTTTAAGTCCAATGTAGTCTTCATGTTATTTTGTTGTTGTTCTTGTTTTTATTGTTTTCGGTTCATCGATTGTGTTCTACTTACCCTAGGCGTTGTTGTTCCAACTCTTCTTCATCTTCCATGATGTCGACAACCGTTGCCATAGTTGATGGTCCTCCACCAGCCGTTGCTGAACCCTGAGCTGGGGTGTTACCAATATCGCCTGTCGTCATCATCGTCGTCGTCGTTGTCGCCGTTCCCGTTTGACTGAAATGTGGATGGGATGACATGTGTGTTAATGGTGATGCCGATGCCGATGTTGATTCAAACAACGTTCCTGGGTTGTTGTTGCTGCTGTTGGTTAATGTTGATGATGTTGCCACTGTTGCCGAACAAATGGCCGGTGTATTGCTGTACAAATTGTTAATGTTTTGATGGTGTTGCTGATGGGTGTTGGAGTACTGCTGCTCCGTTGACAAGGTGACTGACTGGGATTGGATGGTTGATACTCCCGAAGTTGTAACAGATGATGATGATGATGGTGGTAGTGTTGTTGCCATTACAGATTGCTGTGACTGTTCACCTCCTCCTCCACCACTTGGATACGACACCGACGCCGCAGAAGAATTCTGTGATAAATCATGCCTGCAGGATATATCATTTTCATGCAGCAATGTATTGATCTCGGGTGGTAATGGAGGTTTTGTTAAGAATTTTGCACGTCTGATACCTAAAGAAATAAAAAGAAGAAGAATAAAAAAACAACCATAAGAAATTTAATAATTTATCAAATCAACGAACAATGGCAAAAAAAGTTTTTATTAATAAAAATTGTTAACCGCAGAAAAAAAATTGTTCTTCAGAAGTTCAACTCATTTCAATATCGCCTTTTTAATAAATTTCGAATAATCAATCATTGTGTTTTTTCACGCCTGTCGATACCAGCAAATATGACGTTTCGTGCGTTTATTGAACTTGCAATCACTGGTGTTGTCACTGATTTTTCCAACTTTTTTTGTTGGTCTTTTGTTTGAACTATGCCGAAGCTGGAGCTAAAAAAAACTTTTCCAAACGCCATCACTTGAAACTTTTTCAATCAGTTTTATTGCAACACATTTTTACTGGCAAGATTTTTTATTTTTGCAAATACTTTGTGGGTAGTGTGGTAGGGGTTGATGTCATGTCACGGCTTGTCAGCATTATCATAATCAATAAAGTAAATTTCACACACACACAACTTCCGAACAGAGATAGGTATCAGATGTGAACCACCCCACATACAAGGGGTGGATTTTTATACCCTACACAACTATGTTGTCAGGGTATTATAGCTTTGTGCAGCCCTTAGAGTTTGTAAAGCCGCGAAATATTGCTCCTTGACCCACCTTAAAGTATACCGATCATCATATCTCGACTATATGAGTCGATCTAGACATGTGTGCCCGTCCTATGGTCTTCCTCAAGGCCTATATTTAAAAGTGGATTTTTTAAAAATATTTTTTGTGGTCTTCTATAGGCGTGGATTTTTTAAAAAAATATTTGTCTATGGTCTTCTATAGGCGTGAATTTTTTTTATATTTTTCTATGGTCTGCCTGAAGGCCTACATTTAGGCGTGGATTTTTTAAAAAAAAAAATTATGGTCTTCTATAGGCGTGGATTTTTTAAAAAAAATATTTTTCTATGGTCTTCTATAGGCGTGGATTTTTTAAAAAAATATTTTTCTATGGTCTTCTATAGGCGTGGATTTTTTTTAATATTTTTCTATGGTCTTCCTGAAGGCCTATATTTAGGCGTAGATTTTTTAAAAATATTTTTCTATGGTCTTCTATACGCGTGGATTTTTATACCCTACACAACTATGTTGTCAGGGTATTATAGCTTTGTGCAGCCCCAAATGTTTGTAACGCCGCGAAATATTGGTCCTAGACCCACCTTTAAGTATACCGATCGTCATATCTCGACTAGCTGAGTCGATCTACACATGTGTGTCCGTCCGTCCGTCCGTCCGTCTGTCCATTATAATTTGTAAACACGATACAGGCCACAGTTATGGACCAATCTTCACGAAATTTTGCATGTAGGATGGGTTCTGGCCAATGAAGACCCCTATTGTTTTTGGAAAAGATCGGTTAATATTTAGGGGATGAAATGGACCAAATACTAAATTTTTGTCGGTTTTTCTAGTCGCTCCAGAGGCCGCAATTATGGCCCAAACACCGCGAATTTTTGCATGGAGAAGGGTATCGGGCCAGAGAATAAGCATACATGTTTTGATAAAGATCGGTCAATATTTAGCGGGTCAAATGGACCCTGACTTTTGTGTGAAAAATGACAAAATTTGTATTCTATGGCATATATATTTACTCCTGGAGGATGTAGACCCCAGGTGTTGATAGCATATCCAAGAGGAGTCGTTGGCCTTTAAATTCATACCAAATATAGTGATGTATCTACTCAGATGTGGGAGTTACAGTCAAATATTTACAGGTGCTTACGTATTCAGATATTATTTAGTAACCCATTACCATATTAGAGGGAGAAATATCGCGCTGATGGCTTTGAAATTTTTCATGAAGTTCCAGTTTTGGTCAAGAACAACGCCTACAATTTTCGGTGATGATCAGATTAAAATTTTGGGATGAATGGACCGAAAACATAATTTTTTGTGTGTTTTCGAGTAGAGTATAATCCGAAAATCACAACACAACCCACCGTGAAGGTAATCTGGACAAGTAATTAGAATGACTGTACTGAATATTCGAAAAAAGTAAGGAAGAGGTGTTGTTAACCTCTAATCGGACAAGAGGGGGCAAATATCACGAAATATTACTCAGACTCGGAATAAACATCCTCAGAAAGTTAGAGTTCGTGGTAGTTGTGTAGGGTATCATATGGTCGGCCCCGTCCGACTATACTGCTCCGCTCACTGGTTTTTAATATTTTTAGGGTCTTCCACATAGGTCTACATATAGCCGTAGATTTTTCTAATAGAGGAGTGATAATAAGAGGAGTGATTGATCTTTAAATTGATACCATTTATATTGTCGTATGTACTGGGATGTGGAAGAAGGTTAGCAGAGACTTATATTACATTATTTATATTACATCAGTACGTTGTGTCAATCGGCCTAGCTATGGATCTTTTCACGAAGCTTAGTAACATCATTCTAGATTTAATTCAGTACCGTATACCAAAATTCGTGCAAATCGAAAGATATATAGAGACTTTGGTGCACCAATTACATAAAATCGGACGAAAATATATATGGGAGGTATATCTAAATCTGTACCGATTTTCACGAAACGTAACACACGTCATTCTAGTATTAATTCAGTACGCTTTGCCAAAATTCGTGCGAATCAAAATATTTTCAGGGACTTAAGTGGACTATTTACCTAAAATCGGGCGAAGCTATATATATGAGCTATATCTAAATCTGAACCCATTTTCACAAACCTTTGCACACTTCATTCTAGACCTTATTCAGTACGCTGTGCCAAATTTCATGCAAATCGAAAGATAAATAGGGACTTTGGTGCACCAATTACATAAAATCGGACGAAGATATATATGAGAGCTATATCTAAAGCTGAACTGATTTTCACGAAACTTGGCACACATCATTCTAGACCTAATACATTACGCTGTGCCAAATTTCGTGCAAATTGAAAGATATATAGGGACTTTGGTGCACCATTTACATTAAATCGGACGAATATATATATGGGAGCTATATCTAAATCTGAACCGATTTTCACGAAACTTTGCACCCATCATTCTAGACTTAATTCCGTATGCTATGCCAAATTTCGTGCAAATGAAAATAGATATAGGGACTTTGGTACACCATTTACCTTAAATCGGTCGAAAATATATATGGGAGCTATATATAAATCTGAACCGATTTTCATGAAACTTAGCACACATCATTCTAGGTTTAATTCAGTACGCTGTGCCAAATTTCGTGCAAATCGAAAGATAAATAGGGACTTTGGTCCACGATTTACATTAAATCGGACGAATATATATATGGGAGCTATATCTAAGTCTGGACCGATTTTTCCCAATTTCAATAGGGTTCGTCCTTGAGCCAAACAAATAAGCTGTGCAAAATGTCATTTAATTCGGATCATAAATGCTACCTGTACTTTATTTACAATTTAACATGGACAGACGGGCGGACGGACATGCATAAATTGACTCAGAAAGTGATTCTATGCATATTCTCAAAAGGAACCATGGGCCTATCTCGATTATTTTTGCCTGTTAGAAACACATGCACAAAGACATAATACCCTGTACCACAGTGTTGTGAAGGGTATAAAAGATATGTTTCCTATATTATTTTTCTAATTAACTGAAAATTGCATAATCCTTCACCGATATTGATCTCCAATTAACTTTGACATTAGGGGTCTGCATAAGGCGTGGATTTTTTAAAACTATTTTTCTTATATTATTTTTTTTTAATTCATTAAAAAAATTGCATAATGCTTCTGGAATATTGACCTTCAATTAACTTTGACATCAAGGTATTTTTTATAGCAGAAACCTGTTTTTATACTTCTCTCCCCCCTCCATCCCCCTTTTCATATACATTTTCACATTCAAATAAATACAATTTTTATTCAATTTACATGTGCCCCAAGACTTCTGATATACCTCTACTCTATCCTACATAAATTCAAGAGCAATGCCATTAACATGATAGGTAAGCCGATTAGCATAAATGTGTATGTGTGTACGATATATAACGTTAATGGAATTGGTATGATTGGCATTCATTACATTTAACGACAGCCCTACAAAGTCTTTGAGGGCTGTACCGCAGAATTATTTCGAATCGAAAAAAATCGTAAACATGTAAATAAATTGTAATACATAAGTGCAGTGCAGCAAACCGCAATTATTTTTAAGTAGCAATTGGAATAAAAAAAATATTGAAAAGCAATTCACTAATGATTATGATTTTTTCAAAATCACATTGAGTGAAAAATTATTAATTAAAATATTTTCAATATGATTATTTTTAATAAAAAATCTTCTCTAAGGACTTTACAGGTGTCGGGCAAAAATAATCAATATCCACTTTGCACACATGTTGTCAATATTTAAAGTTTAAATAGCGATAAATAAAGTTTACACATTATTTTTATCTCTCTCTCTCCTCCATACCACCTCTTTTATTTGAGGAGGTTTAGAAATGAAAAATAGAAAAACATCAACTGCCTGTCTCATAAAACACGATAATCAATCATTGAATTTAATTTACACTTTCTGTACAAGTTTTTATGCGGTTAAAACTGTGGCATTTATCACACACCCACACACCGCCACACACACTTGCACCACACACATACACGTACCCAACCTTTCACTGCCTTTCACCACTACGTTGAACTTTGTCTTGAGCCAGTGCCTTAAGGAAATTAGAAAGGAAACAGTTGAATATTTTAAATGCCATTAAGGAGTTACCATCGAAGCACTTCAAGTAATGGGCGTTTCACGTGCTACCCATAAAATGCCACTGTCGTGGTAGAGGGACGAATTGAATGGTGCAGAGTGGGAGCGAGAGTACTTATTTTTCCAATACCCAAAGTGTCATTAAATGCTTCAAATTGAGAGTGATAACGTTGCTAAGGATTATGGTTACGGGTGGCACAGGTGATGCCATGACGGAGTCTTGGTGAGGAGAAGAGAATATTTTGTTTCGAAGAATTTCTAAGCTGGAATTTTTAAAAATATTTTCAGGGCATGGCCATAGGCGAGGATTTTTTAAAGACTTTTAGGGACCCTTATAAGTCGGGGATTTTGTTTAAATATTTTTAGGAACCCTTATAAGGCGGAGATTTTTGGGATTTCTTAAAAATATTTTGCAAGAGTCTTCCATAGGTGTGTATTTTTAAACTTTATTTCTAGGGTTTTCATGAGGACCTATATTTAGGCGTGGATTTTTTAAAAATATTTTTCTAGGGTCTTCCTTAAGTCCTACATTTGGCGTGGAATTGTTAAACATATTTTTTGAGGTCTACGGTCTTCCTCAAGGCCTACATTTAGGCGTGAACTTTTTAAAAAGGATACAAGATAGACACATGGTTCCTTTTGAGAATATGCACAGAATCACTTTCTGAATATGCACAGAATCACTTTCTTGTCAATAAAGTACAGGTCGCATTTATGATCCGATTCGGATGAACTTTGGCTTAGGTCACTTATTTGGCCCAAGGACGAACCCTATTGAAATTGTGAATAATCGGTTCAAATTTAGATATAGCTCCCATATACATTTTCGTCCGATTTAATGTAAATGGTGTACCAAAGTCCCTACATATCTTTCGATTTGCTCGAAATTTAGCACAGCGTACTCAATTGTGATTAGAGTGATGTCTGCCAAGTTTCGGGAAAATCGGTCCAGATTTAGATATAGCTCCCATATATGGTTTCGTCCGATTAAATGTAAATGGTGCACCAAAGACCCTATATATCTTTCGATTTGAGTGAAATTTGGCACAGCGTAATGAATTAGGTCTAGAATGATGTGTGTTAAGTTTCCTGAAAATCGGTTCAGATTTAGATATAGCTTCTATATCTGACCAAATGAAAAATTTAGTATCGGTTGCAGAATGACATGTTTGTGGATCCAATTTCATTTTACTGGTCCTTTAAAAATGCGACGTCTGTTAGGAGTCATCTGTTGAATATATCCAAAGTGGTGAAGGGTATCATATAGTCCGACCTTACTATTTTCCTTACCAGTTAAAAATATTTTTTATGAACCTACAAAAGGTGTGGATTTTTAAAAATTTTGGCTTGTATTTAAAGTGAAAATTTTTTTCAAGTCCTACATAAATGATCATGTTCTGCATCACACTTGTTGTCCTATGTGCAGGATTTTAACTCCGTTTTTATTATACCAAAAAAATATAATTAACTTGCAACAAGCTATATTTCAATTTACATGCAACATAATTTTTACCACATATTAAATTTAATTATGTTCCCCCATAGGACCAACTTTTTGCCCTCTCTTTAAATCATGCCCTCTTGTTTTATTATTAAAACATAAAAATCACAAAAAATAACAATCACAGTCCCTGGCTGCCTTTTCTCAAACCTAGCTCTATCTCAAACTTGAATTTCTGATTAGCATTCCCGACACATTTAACCAGCCATAACATGGTCACGTCATCGCACAGCCGTTTGTAAACTCGTTAAACACTTCTTAACCACTCCGTTTTTCGCTTGGCTGGACGTTGAGCGTTGAGGGTCCCCACCAAGCGCATGCTGCACCCCCACATTTGCCACATAGGACTCATCAGGCTAACTACGTGTTGTTCGATGGCAAAAAAACTTTCTGAGTTGATTTTTAATTTAGTTTTCCCATAGTTTTTCTCCATGTTGTTGTTGTTCTACTACGAGTTTGTTTTCCCAATGCCACGTTTTAGAGCTTGAAAATGAAACCGACTAGCGGAGCCATCTATGGGCGGCAGGAGCAATGCTCTACCACACTGAGGATGTTAATGTCATTTAAAGAGCTCCGACTGGAATTAAGTTGGGAATTTCCTTTCCCTATTTTTGTTGTTTTTGTTTGCTCGACCATGTTTTGTCATACTCGTATAGTTTATGTGTCAGTGTGTGTGTGGTATTCCAACTTCTCTATGGGGTCCTATTGGCAAACCTGCGGTTGTTTATTTGCCCACCCTTTGGCATCGAAACGAAATGAAACGTTATTTTAGTGTTTTTGGTATTTTTTCTCTCTTCTCATTCTTGGCTTCTTTCTCTTCTCTTTATGGTAAACTTTTAACGTTTGTTTTAATTACATTTGATGCTTAAAGCCAACAACTGTGGGGGCAAAAAACAGAAACATGGACGAGCAAGCGATGGATTGCTGGCTGATGCCTGGCATTGGGAAAAGTTAAAAAATGTTGGTTATTTTCTCATTTCGATTCTCTGCTATGCTGTCGTTTACAACGCCAGCCAAGCGATTTTTTAGTTCTTCTTCTTCTTTTTTCGTCCTCCTAACTCAATGTAACAACATTTTGCGGAAAAATGTGACAAATGCAGTTAGTTCTTGTTTTTATTAAATGGTGATAATTTTTTTGCACCACTTCATTGAATGGTTCCGACACTGCAGCTGTTTGCAGCTGGGGAAATGATACACCAAAATTAACACGAAAATAGTTGTAAATTTGTTTCGAACGAAAAGTTTTGAATGAATGAAAATTGACGAATGTCAGGGGCATTGTTGGGAGATATCAAATTAGAGACAATTTACTAAATAGAAAATGGAATACAATTAAAAAAAATATTTTTAAAAATTTTTGGTATTTGAAAATTTTTGAATTTGAAAAATAGTATTTTGAAAAATGCAGATCTCAAAAAAAAAAAAAAAAAATATTTTTAAAAAATCCTGGCCTTAAGCAGACCCACAGCTATAGATAAGCCTTTAAAAAATATTTGTTAATGTTCGTCTGTTTCTCAAGAAATATCCTCTGTTCCTCAAGAAATATCCTTCCATGTCCTTTACAAAATGCTATCCCGTAAGTTTTTTCTTTCCATTCATTTATTTATACTTTTATAATCCATTTACCCGAATAATAAATATTAATTTTTCTTCTTCTTTTCCTTTCACTTACCATGCACGGTGGCCGTTTGATAAGCTGGCGGTGGTGGTGGTAACATTTCATTCGATTCTTGTGAGGCTGCCGAATCTCCTCCCGAATTTGGGCCATTGGCCAGGGTTAGACATTGTTTTCTTCGATGTGGCATTTGTATGGTGTGATATTTCAGCATGGTGGGCAGTGGCCCACCACCCGTTATTGTACCCAAAAATGTGTTATTAGTGGTGGTGGCGTTGGTGGTGACCGTGCCTGGTGTTGCTTGTGCTCCTGTAGCAGATAACGCTAATGGATTTTGGGCACCACCGCCACCAACTGGTGTTACAATTGGAAAGTAGACTGTTGTGGTTGAACCACTTGCCAATGGATTTATGCTAAGATTTGAGGTACCGCCACCATTTGCTCCGGCACAATAAACCGCAGATGTTTGGAAACGTAACATATTCGAGGGTACGGCCATAAAATGCTGGGTGGCTGTGGCCGATGTTGGCCCCCCAACTGCCGTTGGTGGTATAATGTAATGTCTTATTGACTGTTGGTGGGTCGGTGAGGAGTTCGCCGAGCTTGAGGAGACAATGTGATATGTGGCCATGGGCGGCGGTGCATAATAACGTGGTGTTGGACCTACAACACCTGCCGACGTCGAAGTGTTCGGTATAAGCAGACGACAATTACTTGACCCAGGCGAAGACAATTTGTGTCCCGTTGTTGGTGCCATAAGCATGACGTCTGGTCGTTGCTGATAGTAGGTTGGTTGTTGTTGTGGCTGCAGCTGTTGTTGTTGCTGGCTTGTTATTGTGCCTGCCATGGCTGGTGACATTTTCAATTGCATACAATTGCCATATGACGGATGCGGCGGCTGTTGATGCTGTTGTTGCTGTGCTTGTTGATTGAGTTTTCCTGGTGATGGTGGGTGGAGGGCGATGGTGTTATGTGGTCAGTTGATGAATGGAGAAAAGAATGGAAGAAAATGAAGAGAATGGAGAAAATAATTAATTAAATATTTATTTTTATTGGAATTACAATTCAAAGGATTAAAGAGGGTCTTGTAAATCTTAACAAAAATTCAAAGAAATAATATGCACATTTTAATAGGACTTCAAAAAAATCCAAATTTAGGTAGGTCTTAAAAAATATTTAAATAGTACACGCCTATGTCAAGGCCTTGATAAATTTTTTTTAAAAGATCCCCGCCTTTTTCTAGGTCCATAACTGTGGCCTGTATCGTGTTTACAATTATAATGGACAGACTGACGGACGAACGGACATACATTTCTAGATCGACTCAGCTAGTCGAGATTTGACGATCGGTATACATAAAGGTGGGTCTGGGACCAATATTTCGCGGCGTTACAAACTCTTGGGGCTGCACAAAGCTATAATACCCTGACAACATAGTTGTGTAGGGTATAAAAATCCACTCCTACGAAGGGCCTTGAAATATTAAAAAAAACCCAAAACTTTTTATGGGTTTTGAAAAAAAAAAAAATTATGGAACCTCTCCAGTCCTTGTTTAAAATAAAAAAAAAATTCTCTACTTACCCTCCTTGTAACCACTTTTGCTTGCCATGGTTGGTGAGGCCGTTGCCGATGATGACACCTTCAATCCATCCTCTGACACAATCCCCTGACATTTGTAGCTGTCATATACATTAGTCGGATTCGTGGCACTACTAACGCCAATTATGGCATCATATTTACAATTTTTACAATTTATCTGTAAATGGAAATAAAATGTTCATTCAATATTAGTGGCAGAAGAAGAAGAAACATGAGCGGGGAAAACGGGAGGGGTAGATGGAAGTAAATATCGACATGAAAACTAGTTCAATGTTATAGTGGCACAAATCTTGCTAGCTAGGCAGGCAGAGTGTGAAAGCTCTTTTGTGGTAAATCCCCACCCACGCACACACACGCCGTTTTGAATAAATAACATTTAAGGGTGTATATATGTGTGTGTGAGTGTCATTATACACACTCACTTTTCTATATGTAAATAAAATGCATTGTGTTTTTGTTTTGTTTGTATCAAAAAGGATTTGTATTCCATTAAAAATTGTTTTCCATTTAGATATCTCTCTTTAGCCTTTTGTTGTTGTTATTGTTACTGGCGGTGTTGTTGTTGGGATTTTCCCTAACAAATCCACTTGCATTGTTCTCTCATCCATAATAGACAATTGCAATCTAATAGAGTTGTATAGTTTGATTATATAGACATTTATGTAGACACACACAATTGTATTTATGAGGATGTGTGCATGTGAATGTGTGTGTGATTGAGTGTGAGAGACCGTGTGGGAATGTTAGTCGGTTGTTAGCTGTAAAGGTATAATTGGCATTTTGTTTTATAGCTTTCATAGGATTTAAATTACTCGGATATGGATTCTAATGGGCTTTTGGCTAAATGCATTGGAGTAGTGGTGGAATGTAAACGAAAAAAAACTTGGAAGCTTATTTGGAAAATAGGTAAATACAAGGAAAATACTTTTAAATAATCTACACCTTGTTATGCACCATGAACAAATATTTTTAAAGAATCTACGCCTATGTCTTGCTTTGAAAACTATTTTTAAAGAATCGACTCCTATGTCTGGCTTTGAAAAAATATTTTTAAATAGTCCACGCCTTCTAATTATTTGTCTAGATTCCTTTCAACGTGGCTGAGTTTCAATTGTGGCCTATAGATCGACTCGAAAAAAAAATAAATAAAAAATTATGTTTTCAGTTCACTTCATCCCAATATTATTATCTGATCATTACCAAAAATTTTAGGAGTTGTCCTTAACCATAACTGGAACCTCATGGAAAATTTCAAAGCGATCAGCGCTATATTTCCGCCCTCCAGTGTGGTAATGGGTTACTAAATATTATATGAATACGTAAGCACCTGTAAATATTTAAGTGTAACTCCCACGTCCGAGTCCATACGGCCGGATATCCATAAATTCCATTGGTATCCCGTGTGGGTCTCAGTCCTACGCATGTTGCCAATATATTTCTCTTCGACATTCTAAGTGGAGTTGGTGATTATGAGTCGAATCACTTTCTTGTATATTAGCAACTTTACCTCCGATGAAAGTCCTCCTCGCATTCGATAGGCAAAGTTTATCTTTTGGCCTACGAAAGCACATAATCTACACGACGACAGAAGTAGAATCTTTGCTGCAGGATGATTCCAAGGTATTTTATCCTGTCTGACACTCCGATGAATTCATTTCCAACCTTTATTATATTGGAATGTACTTTCGTAAGCTCTTCGCAATGGACTTGGGTTTGCCCTTGAAAACTACCGATACACACTATCCAACATTGAGTTTAAGTCCCCATTTTTGGAAGTAGTTGTGAATGAAGTTTTTCCAAGTACACATTCAATCTTCTATCCACATTGCTTCCAAAATGGCCTCGTAGAGCAAGTAACACATCATCAGCGTATGTTAATAGCAGTCCTCTTTCAGAGAATTTTTCTCTCATACACTCCAAGAGCTGTCACATCTGTTACACATCTCGGGTAGTAGCAGCGCCTTGTAGAGTGTGAGTTCGATCTGGCGGCAGGTGGCCTTGTTTCTAAACAGCTTACTTAGACCATAGTAGCCAATACAATTCTCCTCCGGATTTCAAAATACCTCCGAACGGATATGGCTGTCGAATGCGGCTTTATAGTCGACGAATAGATGGAATGTGTCGATGTGTTGTTCGTGGGTCTTTTACAGGATTTGGAGCAGAGTGAACATCTGGTCATTGGTGGATTTGCCAGGTCTGAAGCCGCATTGGTATGGTCCGATAATTTCATTGACCATTGGGAATGGCTCCTGTACATCTCGATTTAGTTAGTTAGTTAGTTAGTTAGTTTGAAAGAGGGGTGGTTTAAAAAAAACCACCACATGTCCATTATGGGACATACACTTAAGCCATAGTAGGCCTGTTGTGCGCTCTAGGAAGGAAAAGTATTTAGATTGGAATTATTCTTAAGTCTTTTGTTTGGTCTCCCTATTCTTCTATGAATTCTGTGTTTTTACAGAAGTCCTTTAATATTTTCCATTCACACCCCCTTAGGTCATTAAGTTCAGGAATAGTGTCGGTTTTCAAGAATTGGGTTCGGATGAATCTCTGTCCGGTATCAGGATTTCACACAACGTGATTGCTCTTGTTTCAGGTATTCGATCTGACTGAAAGTGGTTAATTGAGTTTCCGATCGTAGCCTGCAGTATGTTTTCGTGCGGTGTGTAGTGTCCGTTTTCGATCCACTCGTTCATGGCTTTAAGTCTTAAAGCTGCGATGGCCGCTTCGTATTTTATTTGGATGTCAACTGGGTGTATATACAGTATAGTTTCCAGTGCCCTAGTTGGTGTTGCCCGCATTGCACATCTCGATTTGCTCCCACTCACGTTTTCCGATAATTCTCTCTCGTATTACGTGTTTCTACTGTATGCAGGGTTCTTATGATATAGACAGATAGAGTACATTCGCATTTCTTTAGCATTGATGTTCCTTTCAGCTGTTGTCCAAGATAATAAATTGCTGTGGGGGCTTAATTTCAGAGCTGGTTATTGATTTAGTGGAGGAAATTTCCATATTTCCGCGATGAAAAACCGACAAAAATTAAGTATTTGGCCCATTTCATTCCCTAAATATTACCCGATCTTCACCAAAAACAATAGGGATCTTCATTGGGCACAACACATCCAACATGCAAAATTTCGTGAAGATTGGTCCATAACTGTGGCTTGTATCGCGTTTACGAATTATAATGGACAGACGGACGGACACACATGTTTAGTTCGACTCAGCTAGTCGAGAAATGACGATCGGTAAAGTGGGTCTAGGACCAATACTTCTCTGCGTTACAAACTCTTGGGACTGCACAAAGCTGTAATACCCTGGCAACATAGTTGCGTAGGGTATAAAAAGTACGCCTTAGTCCACGCCTTGTTGTGGACCTTGGAAAAATTTTAAAAAAATCCACATTTAAAATTGAAAAATGTTTTTCCTTTTAATGTCCTTAATTTCCCAATTTCCTTTCTATTTATAAATGTTTAATATTTAATTGAACTCTCTATCGATTTTTAGCTATTTAATTAATTTATGAAATATTTTATAAAAATCAAAAAATAACTTGGAAAGGAAATGAAAATGTCAATGTCATAGCAAACTGACAGTAAATGAAATCGTACACACACACACACTCGTGTTTATCAACACATGTGTAACAGCTAAGGCAAATGAATCCTTGCAATTATTATTAATTTTCATACTCAAATAATTTCCGCAAACCAAATACAAAGCAATGGGTGTATGGTAAATAATTGGCATGATAGGATTTCGAAGCAACCCATTTTCAATTTCTGGCAGAATAATATAAAAATAACCCATCATTACACATTGACACACCTTTTATTTGACAAATAATAAATAATCATTTTTCCACTTGTCTAAGTTTGAGGTTTTCGATTTTCAATTCGACAGGCATTCAGTCAGGACAGGCCGACCGACCGACCGACCGATCGACAGACAAACAAACAACAAGATAAAGCCTCATAGCCACAGGCCATCTTACAACTGAAAATAAACCACAATGCACACAATCGCACACTCACTCACACACACATACATACGATTGCATTTATATGTAATAAGTCCATACATAGCTTTGTGGCTAAAATAACATGTAACCCTCGGCATATGCACACTTCTATTTGATTTGGTTAATATAGAACGTCTGCTATCGGATACGTGATAAAGACTTTTGGAACTAAATATAATTTGCAATTTTAGAATGTGGGCATGTGTGTGTATGTGTGTGAGTTTGATTTTGCAAATGAAAAGAACTGAAATGTGAAATATTCACCAAATAAGGAGATTAGGTGAAGATATGTGGGTGGTGGGGGTGTAAGTTATTAGAAATATGTTCGAAGAGATAATGGGAAGAATTTAAATTAATAGCATAATTAACGGAGGTATAAATGCGGATGTTTTTAAATATTTAAGGGCATGGGCCTTGAAAAAATATTCGTTAAAAATTCCACGCCTTGTTGAGGCCTTGAAAAAATATTCGTTAAAAATTCCACGCCATGTTGAGGCCTTGAAAAAAGTATTCTTAAAAATTCGCGCCTTATGGAGGCCTTGAAAAAATGTGCTTTAATAAATCCACGACTTGTTGAGGCCTTGAAAAAATATTCTTTAATAAATCCACGCCATGTTGAATCCTTGAAACAATATTCTTCAATAAATCCACGCCATGTTGAATCCTTGAAAAAATATTCTTTAATAAATCCACGCCTTGTTGAATCCTTGAAAAAATATTCTTTAATAAATCCACGCCTTGTTGAGGCCTTGAAAAAATCCACGCCTTGTTGAGGCCTTGAAAAAATATTCTTTAATAAATCCACGACTTGTTGAATCCTTGAAAAAATATTCTTTAATAAATTTACGCCTTGTCAAGCTTTGCAAAAAATATTCTTTAAAAAATCCACGCCTTGGTGAGGCCTTGAAAAAATATTCTTTAATAAATCCACGCCTTGTTGAGGCCGCGAAAAAATATTCTTTAATAAATCCACGCTTTGGAGAGGCTTTGAAAAAATATTCTTTAATAAATCCACGCCTTGTCAAGCTTTGCAAAAAATATTCTTTAATAAATCCACGCCTTGGAGAGGCTTTGAAAAAATATTCTTTAATAAATCCACGCCTTGTTGAGACCTTGCAAAAATGTCCTTTAATAAA